CCCCCCCCCCCCCCCCAGCCCTGGAGTTTTCTAGGACAGGAGGCACTTCCTGCTGCTGGTGATTGTTAGAAATGGGAGTATCTCCTATCCTGCAGCCGAAGGAGCTGGGCATCCTGCTTCTGTCCCTACTCAGGGATTGTGTTGGAGGGCCTGGTCCACCTGTGTCCTGTAGATGCAGGGACAAGGGATCTCTGCCTGCCTGCCTGGGGCATCTTATGGATAAGAATCAGCAAGTAGTAACGGCTCACCACTGTGCCCCTCCCTCACCTGGCCTGACTCACTGAGGTCAGGTCCCCTCCCTCTGACATGTGCTTCCCAATGCTGCAGGAGTTAGTCTCCCCAGCCGCCAAGCCAGGCCAAAGCCACGACCTCTGCGGAGCTAAGAACACTTGGACTGATCTTTAGTTTCTACTTTTCCTTGGATCATTGTTTTTCTTTCTTACTAGATACCAGCTTGTTTGCTTTGGAGAAAACATGGTGGGGGTAGGGGGACTTTAATCCTGACATGAGGACAGGCAGGCAGGACGGGTAGGCAGCCTCGGTTCACAGGGTTCTGCCCAGGAGGGCAGCTCTCAATGCTTTCTGAAGAACCACAGAACCGTCTCGGGGTTGGCATCACAGTGACGCAGCAGAGGGACAAATACCAGAATACCAGCGTGGTCCCTTCCCAGCTTTATTTCTATCATCACCTTCTCCCCACCCAACCCTGGGTTTAGAGTCAGACATGCATGTTCCTGGTTCAGCGTTCAAGGCTCGTTGCCAGAGGGAGATCTGGGGCTCAGGGCGGTCTGAACGGGCCAGAATGGATCACCTGGGCAGAACCCTGAGCTGAGAACACCTGGCAGTGGGCAGGCCAGGCCCCACCCCCTCCCCCAAAGAGAGGGCAGCTGCTGCTTTGTCCCAGGATACAGATGGGCAGAGATGCCTCAGGCCCTGCCCCATCCTCGGGGACTGCAAGCTGGCTGGGCAGACCCTATCCCGAGCCTCCTTGACGGAAGAAAGCAGAGACAGGGAGGGCTGTGCTGTAATCCTGGAAAAAGGGACGCTCAGCAGGCAAGTGGTGGTTCTCCCAAGCTGGGACAGCCAAATCCCTCTTTTAAGCCCCCTGAACAGAAAAGGCTCAAACTAATGTGCAGAGTAAGCAGGCCCTCTCTGCCCCTCTGCCTACACAGCAATCGGAGGGGAAGACACTCTGAGCAAAGGGCTGCAGCTCCGTCCCCTCCACCCCTCTCAGCAGGAGGGAGAGCTCAGGTGTGCACAGGAGGCTGCCTCCCTTTACTGTGTGCCAAGTGCGTCCCCCAAGACCCTCCTCTCCGTATTCATGATAGATTGTGGCCCTTCACCCTTGGGGCAGGCGGCCCTTGCTGCCTCCTTCCCTTTGTGTTCACCCTTCTGTGGCTGGCACCACTCACCTGGGAGCTCAGGTGTTGGAGAGTTGAGCAGGAACGCCCAGCACGGAACCTCTGCGTGCCTCTGCTCAGGCCCCTGGCTGCCACCCCGTCCTTCCTCAGTGGACGCTCCTTTCCTGACCCACAGCTGCTCCCTGGGGCCTTCTCCTCAGCAGCCCGCAACTCGCTGCTGACAGCCAGCTGCCGTCTCTGCCTCAGCCTTTCTGTTGTTGGTCGTCCTGGAGATCTAAGTGTCAAATTACCATCGAGAGGGGGAGCCCAAGGGAGCCCTGGCTGGGGACTTGTCCTACAACTTGCATACCCTGTGCCTTTTCCCTGCCCCATGAGGTCCCTCTGTTCTCCTTCCTCCTCCTCTTCCTCTCCCCTCCCTCCTGTACTGTGGGCTGGGGCTGGGGCTGGGCCTGGGCTGGGAGCTAATGAAAGAGGAAGTTGGCTCTCTTGTCCCTCCTGGGCAGAGGTGACCCCAGGGAGGCTCTACTTGAGCTTGGGGTGGGGGGAGTTGAGCAGCACTCTTAGATCTTGGTCTCTCCATGCCCACCCTCAGGAGGGCCTTTTAGCCTGTGTCTCTCAGACCAATTCCGGGCTGATCCCTCCTGCTGGCCTTCCCCGGGAAGGAAAGTAAATAGTGGGGGAGCCGCTGGACTGCCCAAGCCGAACAGACAGCCTTTGCAGCCAGCCTACCAGGGAGGCCCTTCTGCCCCTTGGTATCCAAAGGCATCTTGGGGAAGAACTTGGGAATCTCAGGTGGCCTGCTTGCCCGAGGAAGGACACCACTAGATCTATTTTTGCCACAGAAGTGTCTGCTGGGGCTGTCTCTGCACTCCTGGCCCGCCTGTCAGGGAGGGGCTCTGGAGCCCAATGGCTGGGCCCTTTGACATTTGGCTGGTCATGCCACCCAGCACACCAGTCAAACCAGGCTGTGGGGAGAGAAACTGACCCTAGCCTCGCTGTCAATGGAGCTCTTTGAGTTTGAGCACAAAACCCCAGTGAGTCAGGGCTTGGGGAAGGCAGAGGGAAGGAAGCCAACAGTGTGGCCGTACCACTTAGATGCTAGAGCCTCCCAGAGGCTGGACAGGCAGCCACTGTGCAGACGCACAGACTCAGGGGGATGGAACATTTGTCCCATTCATTCGCGCAAGTAGGAGGGGTAGGGAGAGCACCCTCTGGTGGCTGCCTCTGCTGTCTCAGGTGGGTCTGGTCAGGCCTCAGAGCTGTGTTCTCCACTCAGCTAAAGGAAAGTGAGCCAGGCCCTGCTTCTTGAGGGGCTGTGTCCTAATCAGCTGTTGTTACTTGAGCCTGAGACTGAGCCTCGGGGTCTTGGCCCCTCAAAGGATTTCTCACAGCCTTAGGTAGTTACATTGAGAGGAGTTCCAGTTAGAGCAGTTGACGCCAGCTATTCTTGTCACTGGGATATGGTGCCCAGATAGCCCTGCCTCTGCTCTGGCATCTCCTCTTAGGCTCTCCCACCCTGTGCCACATTCCTGGCAGCAGGAATGGCTATTTGTAAGGCCCTCAATAGAACGGTGCCCCCTCCTGGGGCTTCTGCACCTGCCCTGAGGGTTAATAGCCACCTGGGGATCAGAGAAGAGACAGAGATTCATGGGCCAGCTGGACGCTGCTCCCTGCTCCCAGCTTGGGCAAAGACTGGTCACCCCAAGAAGGCTGTGACAGCGTTGTGGCAGTGAAAGATGAGAGGAAGCCTCTGGCTGGGTCTGCATCTCCCTGGCTAAATACCCTCACCAGCGACTAGGTATGATGCCAGTTCTCAGAAGTGCCTGTATCCCTGCTTTCTCTGGGGGACTTATGCATTGTGCAGCCTCCCAGCCTCAGGCTGGGTAGGCTGGACCTGGACAGAGGCTCCTCGGGGCCCACAAAGAAGAGATCACCAAGGGACAGAAGCTGAGCAGAGTACTGAGGCTGAGCTAGGGCCCTTTCCTACTGTTTCTTCCCTCTCCCACCCCACAAAAGGGTGGAGAATAATAATAAAGTACTCTTAGGATTCAGAGCATCACCTCATCAGTCCTCACACAGCCTGCAAGGCCAGTGCCCTTCCTGCACCATCTTATAGATGAGAGCGTGTAGGCTTCAGGAGGTGAAGTGTTTTACTGAGGGCAGAGCCAGCATCTGCATCCAGAGCCTGAGCTCTTCCCAGGGCACTGCACTGCCTGAGGTCAACAGGGAGGAGCAGGGGCCTCAGGCCAAGAGCAGTAACCAGGCAGCCCGCCTCCCAAGATACCCACATGTGGCCTTGGGAAAACTTCACCTCACCATCCTCATCTGTACAATGGGCAGAACCAAACGGTGCCTCACAAGGTTCGTGTGAGATGAGGTGCATGAGGTGCCCAGCATGGTACTGGGCATGCAGCACCACTCAGCCAGTGTTTTGTTAGGGGTTGGGCAGATGCACTCTGGCCTGCCTGGGTTCCTCACCCCTTGCCTCTGCTGCATTGCCTGCTCCAGGTGTCGCCATGCTGCCATTGCCAAGTACTTCGGGGATGCGCTGCCCACCTGCATCAAAGGCTGTGACCACTGCCAGAACCCCGCGGCCGTGCGGAGGCAGCTGGGTGCCTTGGAGCACAGCGGCAGCAACTGGAGCAAGACCTGCATCAGGCCTTCCCAGGAGAATGGCTTCGACCCTGAGCTGTACGAGGGAGGCCGCAGGGGCTACAGGGGCTTTAGCAGGTGAGGAGCCATGAAGTCAGGAGCCCCAAACTCACTGGAAATAGTCTGTCATTCCCCTGGGGCGAAGGCCAGACCAGAGGTAGCATAGTGCTGTAATCCACCCTCTTGCCCTGTGGGCCTTGCTGGGGCCTGGGCCTTGGTGTGGCCCCAAGCTACCAGGGCATCAGGGACATGGCTGCCCCACCAGCAGCATGAGTGGGCAGGGCACAGTCCAGTCCCAGGAATGCTCATGCCCAGCCTGTCCCCTAGGTATGACGAAGGTTCTGGAGGCAGCGGGGACGAGGGCAGAGATGAGGCCCACAAGCGGGAGTGGAATCTCTTCTATCAGAAGCAGATGAGCCTACGCAAGGTGAAGGGGGCAGGGGGGTCAGTGGCCTGTGCAGGGTCCCAGGTGGTGCCCTGCTCATAACCCTCTTAGCCCCCTCCCTGGTGCTAGATGGGAGCTGTCCTGCAGCAGGACAGGATGCCTCATGAGCCCTCTGTCATCTTCCAGGGCAAAGACCCCAAGACAAAAGAATTCATACCCCCAGGTCAGTACAGAATTATTCCCAGGGGCTCATGGGCAGTTCCCAGGGTGAGGATGCCTCGTTGGGAGGTTGGGGCACTGCAGAAAGCAGAAGGTCAAGTGGAAGGACCCGTCCCTCCTCCCCCAGATGAGGACTGTCCCCTGAAAGAGGCTTCTAGCAGGAAGATCTCTGGGCTCACTGTGAAGGTAAGAGAAGGGCAGCTCTTCACCTGCCCCCCAGGACCCCTCCACCAGCCCTATGGCTGTGACTGACTTCCCTCTCCTGTGCCAGGCCCGTGAGCACTGCCTAGGGCTTCTGGAGGAGGCTCTGAGTAGTAACCACCAGGCCACAGGTTCCACTGATGGGTGAGTGTCCTGAGATTTCTGGGGCTGGGAGAGCAAGGGACAACTGCCCAGGCCAAGGAGGGCTCTCCAAGCTCTTGTCCCTTTGGAGACTGCAGGAATCCCCACCCGACTGGCTTGTTTGTTCAGCCCTTTCCCAGATTGTGACCCATCTTACTCCAGGGAGTGCCAGTCCCTGCAGCCCCACCAGGGGGTTGGGCATGGTCACAACTTACCAGCTCCCAGTGGCTGCTGAGGACAATAAGCCTCCAGGGTTCCGGAGAGTCCTAGTTGGAATCCCTGTACCCAAGGCCATCCCCACCAGGCCCTGAAGCCATCACCAGGGTCCCTGAGGGAATCCAACAGAAGCTCAGCAGGGAGAGGGCTCAGGCCTGCCTGATGCCTTGTGCTCATTGCTACCCACAGAGCTGACCTCCAGGCCAAGGCCGTGGAGCTGGAACATGAGACGTTCCGAAATGCCAAGGTGGCCAACCTGTACAAGGCCAGCGTGCTGAAGAAGGTGGGCCCAGAGTAGGGCGGGCAGGCGGGGCTCATTGTAGGAGAGGGCAGCCCCACCCCGCTCCAAGGCTGTCTGCCCTCTGGATCCTGGGGCCCTTTATGGGGGTAAGGCCCCACTCTTCTCCTCATCAGCTGGAAGGGTTTCTAGCTAACCCCGTGAGCACTAGAACTTGCCCTGTGTCCTATTGCCTGCAGAAACCTACATCTATTGCCTAGAGGAAGAGGGGGGCCCTGGGTTGGGGGAGCTTGTGAGTGCTGTGCCTCCCTGCCTGTCCCTGCCCTAGGTGGCTGCAATTCACAAAGCCTCCAAGGATGGGCAGCTCTATGATGTGGGAGGTGGTGCCAGGAGCCGTGGTCCCCTGGCCAAGCCCCCAGAGCCTGACGAGTACGACATCCCACCAGCTTCCCAGGTGTACTCGGTGAGTGGCGTCCTAGTGCCCACCCCAAGTCCGGGTCTGGGACAGGCTCCAATTCCCCCTTGCCCTAAGGTAGAGCACAGTCTCTCACCCTCTCCTGGCATCATGGCCTTAGCCGTAAGGTGTCCCAGGGTGGGCCCTGGAGCCGGTCTGCTTTGCCAGTTGTACCTTTGCAGCCCCACAGCCTCTGCTCCCGTCAGCTTGACTCCCAGTGTTCTCCTGCCCAACTCCTCCCTCCCATACTCCTGAGAGCCCCAAGCCAACACAGCCAGAACTGGACCAGCCAGCCAGTGCCCTTGTCGCAGACTGCTGGTCTGACCCTCTCTTCCTTACAGCTCAAACCCAAGCGGGTGGGAGCTGGTTTCCCCAAAGGCTCCTGCCCATTCCAGACAGCCACTGAGCTGATGGAGAAGACCAAGGTGCAAGCCCCCCAGCCCATGCAGGGAGGCAAGCAGGAGCCCCCCAACCAGCCCTGTGACCTGCAGGAAGAGGATGGAAGTGAGCCCTTTCCTGGGCCCAGAGGAGAGGCCCCTGGTGGGGGGCCCTCCCCAGAGAAGGTGGTGAAAGGCTCTGCTGGGGGCAGCTCCATGGCCAAGGCCAGGGCCAGCAAGAAACAGCAGCTCCTCGCCGCAGCAGCCCACAGGGATTCTCAGGACATCACTCGCTTCTTCTGCCAAAAGTTGGAAAACTCACTTCTGCTCACTTCAACCCCAAGGGCAGAAGGTGCCTGCCCCTCCTGTGAGGGGGTGCAGAGACCCCCGACGTCCCCAGAGAAGTGCACAGAGGAAGAAGATGGAGCCCAGGGATGTTTGACTGACCTTCCCCAGACTGAGCGGTGCCCCAGGGAGGGGCTCAGGTAAGGCACAGGTAGTTATGGAATCCCCTGGAACCTGCATGGCAGCATCCCCTCCCCTTTGCTAATTGGGCCTCTAAAGCTTGGGGCTCATTCCTAAGAGGGGCTCTGCTGGGCCACCGGGGCAAGGGAGTAGCTGGCACATGGAGCTCTGATTCCTGACCTTCCATCCGGCCAGCGTCTGCCCACTCAGAGACCAGGGGCCCCCTGAAGCCCATTCTACCCCTGCAGAGGAGACACAGACGGGCAAGCGGCCCAGACCCCAGCAGGTACCGTCAGGGAGGAGGTCCTGGGGGAGGGAGGAGGCTTGTAGATGAGGTTGGTAGCTGCTGTGCCCCGGTCAAGGGTTCAGGGAGAATTATCACTCTTTCCACACCCCAGTGGCAGATGGGGTGGGCTGGAGGGAGCCATCTGGGCTGGGGCCCAGTCTTCCAGGAAGGCAGGGGGCCAGTGAGACGGAGGCCAAGAGTGACCCTCCACTGTGGCCCTGCACAGGAGATCCCAGAAAGCTGGGCTCAGAAGAGGCCTCGCCCCTCAGCCAAGCCCTCCGTCTTAGCTGAGGTCAACGGCAGCGTCTCAGCCAACGATCAGGGCACCTTGAACTCCACAGCCCAAGACCCCCGCCAGCTGTCGGCTCCTGGCATCTCCTTGAAGGAGGCTGCGAACATTGTGGTCAAGTGCCTGACCCCTTTCTACAAGGAGGGCAAGTTTGCATCCAAGGTAGAGTGGGTGGGCTCTGCCTCCCCCACGCCAGGGATGCTTGGATGCAGCGGGGATGGCAGGCAGGGAGGGTGAGCCCCAGAACAATGTAGGGCAGAAGCAGGTGAGGCCTGAGGCCAAGACCAGCTCCTGCCCTCCCTGGGACCTGCCTTGCCTTTGGGTCACGGCTGTGGGTTGCTCTGGGAGTGAGGCCAGGGGTGAGCACAGGGGTCCTGCTCTCTGCTTCTCTCCTCCCTCTGCCTTCCAGGAATTGTTTAAAGGCTTTGCTCGCCACCTCTCACACCTGCTGACTCAGAAGACTTCTGGAAGGAGCGGTGAGTGCCTGCATCGCCAGGGGCGGAGGTGCTTGGTGGGTGGTCTGCAGGGAGACTGATGCTCACATCCCCCCGCCCCAAATCTGTAGTGAAAGAAGAGGCCCAGAACCTTATCAAGCAGTTTTTCCATGGCCGGGCCCGGTGTGAGAGTGAAGCTGACTGGCATGGCCTGTGTGGCCCACTGAGATGACCAACTGCTGTCTGGGCAGGGCCAGCATCCTCCCCCAGACTCTGCTGTGGGAAAGCCTGGGCCTTACCTACTGATACCAGGGTTATCGTTTTTTCTCAGGGTCCTTCCCCTTCCAACCACACCCTGCTTTGGAAGTGGCCCCAGACATGTCCCAAATCAAGGTCAGAGGCCAGAGGTCAGCCCACTTTTCTTTCTGCTTGCAAAGGCTGCTGTCCTTTCTCAGAGGCTCCCTTCCTCTCCTGGCCCTGGTGGCTGGGTTTTGTGAGCCAGATCCCCTGGTTATAAGGTGGCAGGTGGTGTGGCTGCTGCCGGGGGAGGAGGAAGGAGGAGTGGCCCCTCCACCTCTTGTACTTAAGTTTTAAGCCAGGGCAGGGCCCATCTGTCAGGGTATTGGGGCCTACTCAGGGGAGCCCCTGCTGGCCTCAGGCTCAGCACTTGTGGGCAGAGGGCAGCAACCAGGCCCTGCGCAGCTCCTGGTCAGGAAGACCAGGCCCGACTGAGATGTTTACAAGAGGAATAAAAGTCCTATTCTGACATATGTGCACAAACACAGTCCTTTTCTCTCGGAAGTTTTATTTCCTCAGCAGCTGCTTCTCCCAGGCCTGGGCTCATGCTGATGTTGAGCCTAGGCAGGTGCCTGGGGCCAGGCAGGCATCTCCCCCAGACTGGGCAGTATCAGCTGCCCAACCCGAGTTCCTGCAGCCTGCACCCTGGGCCCAGTCCCCCCAGAGGGAGCCTGGCTACTGTCTTTCCCAGTTGATGTCACTATAGCAGCCCCTGCCTTATGACCTCCACTTGGGCCAGCTGGGCTGTGCTGTGGCAGGTTCCAGAACACAGCCAAGCGGTGAAGTCCAAACCAGGATGACCTGACAACATCCAAGGTGGACTGTCTGGGTGACACTTGGGCCGGAGAGAGGCCTCTTCCTGTCTGCACTCTTCCCAGACTCCTCTCAGTTGAGGCCTAGACTACAGACTGGAGGAGGTGCTGTTGTCCAGTAGGAAGACGATGGTGTGCTGCAGCTCCTGGGCCTGCCGTGCAAAGGCCTGTTAGGATGGGGCTCCCCAGCCAGCCCCCCACCTCTGCCCCTGCCCACACCACTCCTGAGGCATGGGCGTCATCAGCCTGGGCCCAGGCTCCTGCTGCACCTCAGGGCTGAGGCGAGGCACTCACGCCCACCTTCCCAGGGTGGTTAGAAGTCCTGGCCACTCACCTGTGGCAACTCAAACCAGATGGTCTGAGGGCCATCAGCTGAGCTGTAGTTGAGTTCCAGGCAAGGGGACCCCTCCTCCTCCAGTGGGCTCTGCAGGTGGAGCCGCTGCAGGTCCTTCAGGGCAATGGAGCAGCACAGCATCTGGGGGTAGCAGAGAGAGCAGAGCTGGGTTCCTTGGCGGGAGAAAGGCCAGTATGGGTTGTGGGAGAGAAGGGCCCGAGGGTTCCCAGGCCATCAATGGGGCAGGAGTCCTGCTCACCTGGGATCCAGGGTCCGTGAGGATGAGGTGCTGGCGGTTAAGCCCCAGGAGGAAGGGTCCCGGCAGGGCCAGCTTACTCACTCGCACTGCCACGTAGACGGTGTAGCCAAAGAGAGGCAGCTGGCCTATGGCATCTGGGGGTGGAGAGGGCTAGGACAGGAGTTCTGACTGCCGGGGCCCTAGAACCTACCGTGCTTGGCCCCCCAGGTCAGGTGAGAGGGACAGGCAGGTAGAAGCCTCCTCAACTTCTCCATCCTCATTCCTTCCCTCCTGGACCTCCAGCCTCCACCCGAGCACCTCCTTATCCCAGACCCACCAAGGAAGCTGATCTGTGCTTCCTGGGAGCTGTGCTCTTGCAGCTGCCTCAGCTCCTGGCCCATCAAACTCTTTATGGTGGCCACGTCCACTTGCCATCGCAGAGGCTTCGGGATATACTCCAGAAGCTCTTGCCTACAATGCATGGCCTGGGTCAGTTTAGCTCATGACCATTGACCCCCTGGGGGCAGGGCTGGGCATACAGTAGGTGCCAAATAGCTGAAACAGTGCCTATTCATACACGTGAATTAGGCGAGGGCCGTGTCCCAGAAGAGCGTCTATAGCCCCCACTGCTCCAGGCCAATCTGATTAGGGCCAGGAAGGGTACAAGCCAAATGGCCTTGACCTTGGAGGACAGAGTGGGGGTGGTGGGCTGGAGGAGAGGCCCTTGGGGTGGGTGTTGAGGTGGGACGAGTGGAGTGGGAGGAGGGGGGGCGGCAGAGCTCACACTCACTCTGGAGGGGGGGTCTTGTTGGCTCTGCTGAGGTGCTGCAGGGCAGCCAGCCTGGCGAGTTGGGCATCTGCCTGGGCACTGGCCGCCAGCTTCCCTTGAAGGTAGTCCCGCAGCACCTGAAGGGAGGGCCGGGAGGAGGGCAACTGTGCCCCAAAGTCCCTACCAGTTGGTGGCTCCTGGGGCTCAAGCCCATTCCTGCCACCATCCCCTTCTGGCCGCCACAGACCCACGTTCTTGTGGGGAGGGGGCTTAGAGGTCACCCAGACAGGAGCTCAGGCCCTCCAGCTGTGCAGCAGCCCAGGGGCAGGTGAGCTGACCTGGCTGTAGTGGATGCTGACGTAGATGGGATTATCAAAGTGCAGCGGGGTCTCCCAGCCGAGCCGCCGGCCATACAGGCTCACGTCCTTGTCTACCAGCATGCTGTTGAGGTACTCGTGGGGCCACAGGGGCCGCACCAGCTCTCCTGCACAGGGAGGCAGGTCCACAGCACGCCCTGCCATCCAGGCCCATGCCGCCAGTGAACCCACCTCCCCAGACCCAGCCCAGCCTCCCCTTCCTCCCCAGCTCACCTTCCCCTTTCCTGAGGAAGAGGGCAAATTCCTGCACTTCCTGGGGGTCCGTGATGCCCATCTGCCTGCACATCTCCTCCAGCACTTCTGATGCCACCTAGGCATGTAGACAGGGCCATGATGAGGGAGAGAAGACTAGGGAGCCCAGAACTGAGGCCCACAGCCTCTTCCCTTGTGGCCTGTGCTCACCGTGAATGTTTGGATATTCGTGCTGTAGTCCACGCCCCCAGGCAGGTGAATTAGAAGAAGACGGCCTGTTTGCCCTTTCTGCCAAGCAAGGTTGCAGCATCAGTCCACCACTAGGCAGAAGTCCTAGCTCCCCTGTGGACAGTACCCCCCACCCATGGAGTCCCAGGATGCCCATCCGCCCACCCCAGTACCAGGAAAGCCTGCATTTCACCCAGCGGGGGCAGCCGCTGGCGTCCCCCAAATTTGACTGTACGCTGGAGGTGCTCCTGGCTGCTCCGGGCCAGCTCTGCAGAGGAGGCAGGCTGGGGTCATGGGCATGTTCCCAGCCTTGAGAGCTCTTCCCTCTTTCCCCCTCCCATAGACACCTTGGCTGGGGCCTGAATCCTGCAGGAACTTAGTCACGTAGGGCATCAGAGTGGTTGACGGGGGGAAGAAACCTGAGAGGAGGCTGAGAAAGCTCCAGCCCCGAGCACTGTGTTCCCTGTGGGGCAAGGAGATGGGGCTTCAGACTGATCAGACCACAGCTCTGTGCTGCCCCCAGAGGCCTCCACCCCACCCCCCAGTTCCCACTCACGGCCGGGGATGTCCTGTGACCTGCTTGATGACCTGGCAGTAAATCTCATCCCTAAGGTCCTTCTCTTGGCACAGCTGTGGGGACAGGAAGGGCAGCAGAGCTGTGGTGCATGGAATGAGGGATGGGGTGAGGAATGGGGTGAAGGACCCCGATGTGAGGGAGAAATCCTGGTGATGGCCGTGGGCTGGGATGGAGTCAGGTGATGTCCCAGCTGTCATCTCCCCATCTTTGTCTAAGTTTAAAAGCATCTGCAGTTTCTATTTATTTATTTATTTTTTTAAATGACCAGTAAGGGGATATTGACTTGGTGTTGTCAGCACCACGCTCACCCAGTGAGCTAACCAGCCATCCGCATCTCCCCATCTTTGTCTAAGTTTAAAAGCATCTGCAGTTTCTATTTATTTATTTATTTTTATTTATTTATTTTTTTAAATGACCAGTAAGGGAATATTGACTTGCTGTTGTCAGCACCATGCTCACCCAGTGAGCTAACCAGCCATCCGTATATGGGATCTGAACCCGTGGCCTTGGTGTTATCAGCACCGCACTCTCCCAAGTAAGCCACAGGCCGGCCTAGCATCTGCAGTTTCTGTCAATCATTGTCTTCACCTGCCCCACTGATCGCTCTGTCTTTGCTGGCTCCACCTTATCCCCTTGACCTCTAAGCATTGCAGTGCTCTTGAACCTCTCTACACTCTCCCCAATGGTCTCAGCTGCTCATGTCTGATGACACTCCAGTACCTGCCTCCAGCCCAGATTTCTCCCTTGAATCCCAGACCCCTCACTTGGAAGTCTGGAATTTCAGACTTCATGTGTCCAAAATATTCCTCTGCCAGCCTAGACCTGCTCCTCATGGAACACGGTCATTGCTCCGGCCCTCTCGGACCCCACCTGCAATTGGCCAGTGGACCCTGCTGGCTCTGCATCTGCTCACTGCTCCCCTCTGCTGCTGCCCCTGGGCCTGGCCCAGCAACACCTCTCACCCAGGACCACTGCAGTAACTTCCTTTTCCCCTTAAGCCCCCAGAATCGCAAACAATGGCCAGAGCGACCCTGTGAAATATAAGCCAAGCATCTCTTCAAAATCCTCTCCAGTGGTTTCCCCTTACTCTGAAAAAATCAAAATCCCCCAATGGCATACAAGGCCTGCTGTGACCTGGACCCATGGCCCCTCCCTGTCCTCTTCCTCCACTCTCCCCCACACTGGCCTTGCTGGTGTGGGACAGTGATGAGGCTTATCCTGTCAGGATGCCGCCCGACCCTTCTCTCTGTTCCCACGTGCACTTGGCTTGCCCCTTGCTCCCTTCAGTTCTCTTGTCACATAGCCTCTCTGCCATAGCAGCCCCTTCCCCTGCTTTATTGTCGCCATAGCGCTTTTCACTTCCAGACACATGACATCATTATTTACTGTCTCCTCCCACGAGATAGTAAGATCTGCAGGGACTCAGCCATTGGCCTTACAGCCATGCCCCAGCATGTAGTAGGTGCTCAATAAATACTTTGGAATGTCTTGAAAGCATAGTGACCAAGGGAAGGGGGACCCCATTCAGGTCCAGGGAAGAGGACAGGAACAGGCACTCAGGGCTGCCGGTCTGTGCCCCCGCTTCCAGCACACACGGCCCTGCTTACCTTCAGCAGCTCATAGAGCAGATCCACATCATCCTTGCCTCGGGGCTTAGACTGGTCCCCCATAAACTGCATCAGAGCTGCAGGCAGGATGAGAAGCATGGTGAGCCATGCTGGGGCCTGGCCCTGGTCATGGCGTCGCTGCACACGGCCTTCCCCTGCTACCTGATATCTTACTCTCAAAATGCACGACAGCCGGGCAGGGAAGCTGTTGCCAGCTTTACCAACAAGGAAACCAAGGCTCGGGGATGCCATGAGTGCCCAAGACCACACACAGTGCACAGTGTCGGTGGGACCCATCTACAGCCTGCCAGCCCTGGACTCCACACAACCCACCACCCTTGGGTGGGAGAAGTGGGTGAGGGTGTGGGGGTACAGGAACACCAGTGGGCTTCTCTGAGTTGGCAAACTGGGGCAGAAACAGGCAGAGTTCAAGGAGAGAAGGGGACCAGGTGCCCAGGTTTGAGGTACTGAAGACACAGGGTCCTGGGATACTCATGGCCACTCACTCTGGAAGCTTGCCACAGCCTGCCTGCTTCTGTCCTTATCACTGAGGTTGATGAGTGATTCCCGGATGGGAGCCTGCAGCCAAAGAGGTGGGGCCGTGGGTCTGAGGCCCTTGGGGGTCCAAGAGCAGATCCACTGGCCAGACTCCCCCCACCTTCTCTCCCCTTACCTTGGTATACTGCACCAGGCTGGCTGTGGCCTTCTCCTTAGCACTGTCACCAGTCTTGTGCCACCTGCTGGGGGCAGAGAGAGGACAGCCCCATTGCTCGGCCCTCCTGCCCCCTGTCCCAGGCTGCAGGGGAGGTGGTAAGAGCACTCGCTGGTGGCTCTGAGCAGGGAGCTAGCTTTGGGAAGGTGGAGCACAGACAGGCACAAGGGTTGGTCTAGGGCACTCACGAGGTCTGAGGCTTCCGGAAGTAGCGCAGGGCAAATTCCTGCATGGTGTAGTTGTGAGAGTCGGTGGATAGAGAGGTGCAGGCCACAGAGGAGGGCAGGCTGGTGGCTTCCAAGTCATCACTGTGTGTCTGGCTCTGGGGGCAGGTGGGGTGCTGGGAGCACAGAAAATCTGATGCCACCTAGTGCCCACTGGCCTGTCCCAGAGGTCCTGCCACAGCCCTGTCCCCACCCCAGCCAGACCCAAGAGGAGCAACACCAGAAGCCAGGAAAGTCAAGAGCTGTTTTATTGAACATTTATGGTGTCATTGAACTAAGTACCATGTGGGACACGAGAGGGGCAGATGGCCCTGTCCCTGCCCACAGGGAGCTCACAGTCGGGGGGCAGCGAGGCTGCAGTCAGGAGGAAGCAGAGCAAACAGCACCGGCCAAGCACTGCCCACCAGGCGTAGGAGGCGGCAGCAGAGCAGTCCCGGTGCCCGGCAGCCCTGGGGCAATCATGTGCTCCTTCCTCGATGCCTAGGGACACCTCGCCCCTGCCTCTCCCGTCCTCACCTCTGAGGCCCTGTCCCACTGAGCCAGCCCTGGCTCCCCAAGCTGCAGCTGCCTCTTGTGCCTGTTGTTCCTCTGCTCCGGGGAGAAGGAAAAGTCGGGAGCAGCAGCTGGCTGCACTATGTCAGCAGGAAAGAGTCCGGAACGGCCCCCGGCAGAGCCAAACTGCCAGCCTAGAGGGCACGTGAAGGCGGTGGCTCACCACTGACCCCTCTGTCCCCTGGCAGGCTCTGCCAGTGGGATGCTATCCCTGTGCCAGCCCCCTGCTGGCCCTGGGGATACCTGGCTCCAGTGTGGCCCCCGGCAACAACTTGATGAGGTCGCCGCGGTGGAAGCTGAGGAGGCTGCAGTCGTCTGTGACATAGCTGCGCAGCGCCACCACGTAGCCGGAGTCCTAGGGGCAGGTGAATGAGCGGGCCAGAGAGTGTCGAGCCTGCCTGTGCCTCCGTGTCCTGCCCACCCTGCTAGCTCCCCCTGGCTGTCCCTTCTCCATCCAGCATCCCAGAGTTCCAAGGTCCCAGCCTAAACTCCCAGCCCCCACCAGGAAACCAGACGGGAGACGAGGCATGGGCAGAGGCAGAGGCTGCCCTCCGGCCCCAGCCCCGGCCACCTGCACTTGCCTTCTGGAGCTCACTCAGGAACAGCTCCACCAGGGCCTTGATGGCCCTTGCCCTGGCTGTGTGCAGCACCAGCTGCTCGCTCTTCAGTGACAGCTCTAGGGTGGAGCCGCCCCGGCACTCCACGCCCAAAACCTCAGCAAAGCTGTGCACAGGGTGGGGGCATGAGCTGGGGCCGTCTCGCCATCCCCCGCCCCCCTCCAGCCCAGGCTCTGGGAGAGCTCACCTGTAGGAGCAGAGTGTCTTCAGCTGGTCAGGGTGGAAGCTGGAGCCTTGGGTCACCTTGAGCAGCCTCAGCCCCCGGTGGGACACACCCAGCAGCTGCACATCGCTGCCACTCTCGCCCTGCCGGGACAGAGGGCGGGTCACAGACTCCTGGGTCCTCACTACCGCCAAAGATACCCTGGAGCTGCTCAGGGCCAGTGGCTGTGTTTTGTCTCTCCACTGGTACTGACACATCCCCCCAACACACACACTGCCAGCTGTCATCCTGCTGCAGAGGGCCTGTGCCTGCATGCACCAGGATCCAGACCAGGGCCTGGCATCCGCACTCCCTACCCCCAGCATCACTGACCGAGGCAGGGAAGATGCGGGAGAAGTAGTTGGCCCAGTTGTCCCGTGCAGCCACCACAATGCGCTTCTTAACGCTGTCTTCAGCAGTGTCAAGGGAGTCCAGGCCCACCTCCAAGTCTCCTGTGGGCAGGAAGGGCCCAGGCTGTCCTCAGCTCCCCACTCCCAGCTCACACAGGAGAGACCCCAGAGTTTGCTCCCACAGTCGCTCCCTCCCTCAGGGCAGGTCCAGTACCGCCCCCCACTGCATTCAAGCTCCCTGACTCCCAGGTCCCGGGACCCATACCCAGCAGGTCCTTCATTTTGCGTCGCTCATCCCGGGAGATCCGGATGCAGGACTCGGCGAAGGTGTCCCGCAGGATCTGGGGACAGAGCCAGGAGGTCACCACCGGGTCCCGAGGCCAGAGCCCACTCCAGGAGCAGCCATAGACACACACGGTGGGAAAGCTGGGGAGTCCAGTGAAGGTCGCCTCCACCCCAGGGCGGACATTGGGGCTTGCCCATCTCAGCAGGGAGGGATGGGGGGAGGGAGTGAGGGAGGGCTCAGAAGCCCAGGGCCACAGCCACCCACACCTCGCCTGCCCTCCTTCCCTTCACCTCACTGCCCAGAGACCCCCCAGGACTGCTGCTGCCTCAGCTGAGATCAACTTCCCTGAAGGAACAGAATTTGGTGGAGGGGGAGAAAGAGGCTACTGTAGAATCTGGGGAGACAGAGGCATACTCCTGGGAGCATCCAGAGGTGGCAGAGTAACAGCCACCATTGATTAAAGTATTACTGTGTCGTGTCTGTGTACACTTTTCTCTTAATCCTCATCTACAGAGTTACTTCAAAATGTTCGTGGAAAAATGGAATTAAAAGGTTTGAATCTTCCCATGAACTTTTTGGAGATCCCTCATGTTACACTAGGTTAATAACGGTCCCTACTTCTTAGGAACATCCTGAGGATTAAGTAATTGAAGGCAGGGCTGGCACACAGAAAGTGTCCCATGCGTGCCTGCTGCTGCAGTGCCCCTCACACTGGTGTTAACCTGGCCCAGGTGTTAGGAGGGCCCCAGGGACGCCATCTGTCTGCACATGGCACAGACTGGCAGATGGGCCAGGCTCTCACCTGCTGGCAGAGGAGCCTGAGGCAGTAGGGATGGCTGAAGTTCTCCCGGGGGTAGAACACCTAGAGGAGGGCATAGAAGAGTGAGATTGGACGGGTTGGTGCCCCTGCCCAGCCGCCCTCGGCTCTCCCAGGCCCCACACTGGAAAACCAGCCTTGAAAAGGTGGGTTGTGGGAGGGTATGCTGGGGTCCCAGGTTGGGATCTCCCACAGCCCACCACCTCCCTGCCAGCCCAAAGAGGCCAGGCTGAGCCCTCCCCACCCCATGCCCACCTCCTTGCGTAGGAACAACTTCCAGGATGCACTGGCGTAGGAGAAGCACACACTAGCAGAGGATGCGAGTAGCTGGGTAGAGAGCCCCTGGTCCCCCATGGGCTCCGTCAAGCCTGGCGGGGGGGGGGGGGGGGTT